CAGGGCACAGAGAGGTGTCCTTCAGCCTTCTGCGAGTGTTCCGACTGGGATGACTACAAAATCACTTGCAGGGACATCCACTTCATTCCCAGCCTGCCGGAGGACACCCAGACCCTGTGAGTACATCGCGGTGCCTTAGGGGAGACCCTAGCCGGCTGTGCGGGCTGGCACCTCGCAAGCAGGAGGGGCACCGTGAGATGAGGTGAGGGGGGGATTGCTGCACTCTACCGGGGCAGTTCGGACAGGGGGAAGAGGAATGTGCGCACTCTGTCAGGGAGATGCAGGAAAAGTGACTCTCAAACCTTGTGGAGATGTGAAGAGATGATTGGCCGTTGGGCCTTAAAAGTTTTGGGTAGGATCTGGGAAAATTAGGCACCGGACTGTTGGTGGGCAGCCGAGCAGAAGGCTGGGTTTTGTGTGGCATCTGTGTACGGGGAGAGGGGAAGGAAGGATAGATCAAACACCATTTTGTAATTAAAAAAATAATAGGACCTGGATGTTCCGCCTCACAAACAGTTCCACAAAAGCTTCTGTGCACTTTCAGCTTCTTGGCAAAAGCCTGACAAAAAGAATTGATGGGAACTGAGAATCCCAATATATCATCTGGGAAAAAAAATACTTCAGATAAACCAAAGTGTGGAATATGGGATAGAACCGCAAATTTGGAGCTTGCCAAAGTGATAGAGCAGTTAAAGTACCTAAATCTAAGTGTGAACTACCATTATAGACACCATAAAGTATCTTGTCTGGCTTCCTGCTGCCAGTCCAGAAGAGTGTCCTGCACCGTATCTGCCACCCCCACAGACATATATCAGATAAATGCTGCAGGAAAACTGAAATGGCACCAGTCAGCTATAACTAAGCAGCTGAATCACTCCTGACTTCTACTTTGTCTCATAAGGTACAAAATGTTTCCAGCCTTCCAGTAGGTTACTTTCTGATAAAATAACTCAAACTCAGTTAACTTAATTGCAAGATGAAACAATAACAGGTTGATTGATTTATGTCTTGATAATGACTCATGACTTTATTTGAAAATATGAGCCATGAAGTTATTTGAACTTCTACTGATGGACTTCTCAGGACTTTTTAACACGTGGAAGTAAAGCCTTAGCATATCGACCACTTACCTGACACGACAGAGAAAAAACCATTTATGTTATTTCCGTCACTTATACATGCCTTTATTTTTTTTATTACACTGCATTATTTCAGTTGTTAAGATTTAAAATTACACAGGGTTTTATTTGTTTATTATACTTTTGTATATGCAGTTTATTTAGTTTGAAATTGCAGTAATGTTACTATAGGTAACATGGTATATTCTTTGAGATCTACTATGATAAGTTAGAAAATAAAGAAGTGTCAGTTTATAGGAGAAATACGCCTTCATACAGGCATTTAAAATAGTTAATAGAAACAATGAGATCACATAATGGAACTGGACGTTTTCCTTGAAAAATGCTGGTATGATGGCTGAGAAGTACCTCTACATAGAGCTTCACAAATAAAGCACTTTGGCAGATGGAGTTCTAGTGTTTTAAACCCCTGTTGTAATGGGGGCTCTAAGATCACAAGCCACTGTTTTTAAAAGACCAAAGCACCTAGTGAAAATCTTATTTTCATAGAAAAAGTAATTAACAAAAACAATCGAGAAATATATTTCTGTTTACTTTGGGTGTATTTTAATCATCTGTACTGACAGGGAGGAACCACAGCAAACCTCTCAAGAAGTGTGCTCCCTACCCTACTTATAAGACGTGAAAAAATTCCAAGTAATAACAATTATGATTTTATACTGAATGGTAGAAAAGGTAGAGCATGCGGTCTGTAGTCTGTTTTATTTGAAAAATCTCTAAGGAAATAAGGAAAACAGAGCTCTTTTCACATCCAAAAAAAATACCATTTTTTACTTTCAGTTTACCATTTTCTCTCTGGGTAAGGTATATATATTTTCCTTCTGTGTTACAATTTGAGTTGCTGAAGTCTGATGGACTGTATATAATTCTGTAGTCCCTTGCTCTCAGCCAATGACTTAATCTTTCTTTCCCTCCATATATTAAAGGGGAGTCATAACAGTTACTTGCACCTGGTTTTCATTCAGAGTATGTTCAGATTCATCAGACTGACATACTTGCACATGGAGGATAAAATAATACAAAGAGTTTTCCTGAGAGCTTGTAAGGTGCATGCTCCTGCTTCCATCCTGTTTTGCATCCTTCTGCCTTACAACCAGCAATCGACCTGAATTAAAGACAAAAGATTCCAAAATAATGGAAGTTTCTGTTAACCTTAAGAACAAATGAACACTTCTCTGAAGTATGTAGCTGTGCATGTCTGTATATTATATGTTGAAACCTCCTACAATTTTCCCCAAATCCAGCAACTTTGTCACTTTAAGGAAAAGGTTCCTTCTTGGTGGTTATGTGTAAACCTCAAGATTGCCAATTTTAAAACTTTCCTATGCAGCTCTTCAGTTTTGTAGGGTTTGTAAAGCTGAGAGACTGGCAAGCCTAGGAACACTTTGCCGGCTTTTGGAGATGATGAGCTCTTTTTAGTGCACAAGATCTTGAAACTCCAATTAAAGTTTCATTGTGATTATTCAGTTGGGACTGTTCTTATTTTTTATCCCACTTTAAAAGAATGGTGCAAACCCTTTTTTTTTTACAAGCCATGCTTTTAAGAAACTGCTAAAAAAGTTTGTTTCCAAACTCTTTCAGTGGAAAAATGTCATGAACTTCAGCCAGGAAAGTGTGTTTGTTTTAAACAATTTTTAATGTATTCGTCCAAATATAGTTAATGCAGGTGCTTATCCAGAATACCGAAGTGCAGAGATGCTGTTCTTGGAGATGCTTATTTTTCAGTACAAGATTTTTCTTTCTTGTCTTTTTCTGTGGAGTAAACAGAATAAGCAGGAGGAGAAAGGTTTTGTGTATTACAAGCAAGTCTTTTGTTGGCTGAAGTTAAGAATTATATAGTCCTGTCTCTTTCCACACAGCTGACACCCTGGCCTGGTCTGCTGCCACTTTACCCCTGCCTCGCCCTCCTTTGCTTCTGCCTCTGCCTGTCCTTCACTCCTCCGTTGGGCTGAGGCAGTAGCACTACGTGCAGAGTACTGAGGGAATCCCTGTCCCAAGCCCTGCAACATCTGGCACTGCAACCTCCTCTGCCTTTGGTGGAATGTGCCAGGGGAGATCCTGGCCTTTCAGTTCAAGCAGATCCACTGGGAAGTAGGAGTTAATGAGTGTGAAGAATTATTTACTCTTACAGATCACCAAAACTCCAGTGAACCTTTCCCCAAAGATATAATTGCATTACAATGCTTGGTTATTGTAATATTGTAATACCTTGCTTGGCATCATTATGATGAAATACCCAGATGGTATCACTATCCCAGCATCATCTCAGTGCAGTTCCCAATGTTTTTCATTTTATGAATCTGGTGTTAGTTGCTTTTAATTCTTTTTCCTTTGGCAGTAAAACTAATAAAGTTTTCCTTCTTGTTTATTTGTGCTTTACATTACCTGCATTCACTTAGTAAAATAACTTTAGCTCCCCTTTCCATCCCCAATATCCTCAATACCCTTGCATAAGTTTTCCACCTCTTAAAAGCCATAGCAAATCAACCTATGGTTCTCACCTAATGCAGTATCCTGTCTCCATGATTCTTCTCTTAATTTTCATAGTTATTTGCTTATAGAAGTCATATGTGGTACTCTCCATGAACAGCATTTCAGCTTTCAATTATTTTTACCTGCAGGAAGTTTCTAAACTTGCTGTGGTTTTGTCATTGTCATAACCCTCAAAGGATCGTTAATCTGTTTCTTGAGTTTCATGTTTGTGCCTCATTTGGTTGCCTTCCGAGCCCATTTCAACATGCATAATATCCTTTGGCAAGCTTAATAGAAGTTGCAAGAACTCATTTTTGTTGCTGTTGTGGAAAATGCCATATTGTCCTCCCGTCACCAGCTGCGTATACAGCATTTTCAGCTCCATGTGATGTCCCTTTAGCCTGCTGACAATATTCTCGTCTCTTCCTTATATCTTCTGTAGCAAGCCAACAGTAGTGTCCCGTGTTACATCCCATAAATATTACTCAAAGCGTCTCATCTGCTGCCTAAAACATATATCTATACATATACATACATATAGGTATGTATCACTGGAAAGAAGGCAGCATCTCCTGGGTTCAGAGCTGTGTGAGTGCTGAATGATTATTCCCTGCAGAATGGGTAATGGCTGAGCCCTTTCTGGCTTTTTTTCGTTTGTTTTTTTTTTTTTCTCTTTCAGAAGGATTGCTAATAAGGTTTCTATCCTGTAACCAAGCGCTACTTTCACACCACCATAATCAAATTTGATTGAAATTGGACAAGGAGTTAAGGGAGAACAGTGGAATTGGTAGAAAAACAGGCACCAAAATGGTATAGTCTTTCAGAATTTGCTCTTTACCTGCGATATTAAGCTACAAGTCTGCATCTGCTCCAGAACACTGGCTGTAGGTAGGACACTGCTTTTTGACAAGTGCAAGGAATCTCACTTTTCAGAGTCAAGGAGCACTGATGTCTGTCACATTTACTCTGTTGGTAAGGGGGAGCACATGGATACCAGGATGCAGTGAATCAGCTGGTCTGTTTAGTTCCCAGTTTAGTTAGGTCTGTTGCCAGCTTTTAATAAAATAGATTTGGAAACAGTGAGACATATTTTACACATGTGGATATTTAGAACTAGCAATGATAGGTCAAATATTCATGAACTCTTACTGGGACTTGAAAGTTTTACCTGTAGTAACTGCATCACTGGCATCCACATTTTTTTTTATGCTTAATGGGTAGTTTAGAGCATTTTGAGTTCACAGAAGCTACAAGTAAAACTGAAGGAGATGATACCTCTACTTAATATTGAAAATAATTAAAGTGATTTAAAATATTTTCCTCTAAATCTTAGTCTTAGGAATTGCCTTAAGTTCAGAGATATTCTGACTTCAGTTAATTCTATTAGGATCATTTTATAGACTTCATTACTTCAGAATTAAGTATGGAGCCTCACAAATACATCTTACAAATAACCTTGCAACATAAGCATGTAATTATTATCCCTATTTTAATAATGAATTACC